GACAAGCACTGGCATGTCTGGAACACTGAACTTCCATGAGCTTCCACCACCTTACACAGCTGAATTTATACCTCAGGCTGCTACTCAGTGTCTACAAAGTTGGAATATCTTGAATGAGGTTGAAGTACTTGTGTTAGAGGATGCCTCAACAAATATTTCCAGATCTAGGAGCCAGCCCCAAAACTCAGGAACCAGGTGTGCGTAGCCTACTGTCACTACTGTTTGTACTGGGAAATGGGGGCTACATCAATGCCTCAATTATCTGCAGGTTTTTTCTTTTGCCCAAATTTTCTTAAAATAATTGTGCAATTACAATTCTAGACAATAACTTATATATTTTAGAGAAATTGCCACTCAGAAATTAATTTTGGTTGCAAAAGTTTAGGTGTTGCATGATATCCAGGGTTTTCACGTGCAGGATCATCCGTCAGCTAGTTCAAGCCTAGACTTGCATCTTTTACTTTTAGTTGTTAAGACAGGAATACAAAATATTTGTAGCTTGATTAACTATATTTGATTAGTGATTAAAAATATAGTATACATAAACAAACAAAAGATTTCACTCAATTTCAGTTGTCATCTGTTGTTCTATGCTGCACAGTCGGTGTCCCTTAACCACAGATACATGTTCAGGTTGTGTTGGGGTGTTGCTCAGTTATGCATTGTCCTCTTCCATACAAATAATTGATATCTTCAGTTAGTTTCAACAAAGGCTTCTTCCCAATAATTTCCAAGTGCAGATTTGTGAGACTTTTTTTTACAGGTATTGATAGGGTATGAAATATAGCAGAAAAAGTGCTGAAATATAGGAGCTCTTTATGCTTACGTTAGCGATTAAATTCAACTAAAATGAAAACCGACAATCAAATGAGGAAGTATTATAGAAGACAAAATGGAATTTTACTCATGTAATTCACAAAATTTGGAGGAATTGAGCATGACCAACTAACTGACCGACTGACACTTGGCTTTTATGATTATATAATTTATAAATTTTTTTCTTCTGATAATGTGATTAAACAACAATAAAAAAAAATATAATTTAAAACAAGGAACTTAAATATAATGAAAAATTATACTTAGGTTAAACAATGGGCTAACTAACGAGGTACACTAGTGCCTTGATTATTCGTTGTTTCATTATCTGCAATTATTTGCTTTCCCTGACCATTGCAGATAATCAAGGCACCAGTGTGTATTTATTTACTTTCATAGCAACAAGTGCACATGCTAATGATCACATGATATCAACAACCACTTGATAGTATTGCCTGAACTATCTGCCTTTAGTCCCGTCTGAGTTTGAACACACAAACTGGTTGATTGAATTTAGAGAAAGAAAAACAAAATGCTGTGAAATTAGTAATGTGTTGTGCAACCACAGTGCTTCATTCCTGAAAAAATAGGAAGTGCTGAATCAACTATTAAAATCCTAGAAACAAAGTTCAGTTTAGGACTTAAAGAATGCAAAAATAGTGCCAGACTGTTCTAGATTCAAGTTCTATTTAGCATAGCCCTACACACAAATAAAATGGAAGAAAACACTAAGTACCACGATGAACTTTTTAGTCACCATGGTGCCCGGGATTTGTCCAGGCCTGTGTTAAAGAAACTGCTTCCATCTGTGTCAAAACTGTTAGTAATAGGAATCAAAAGTTAATACCATGTTTTGGCCATACCCTGACACTTGTAAGGACTGAAAGCAGGAATGGACCACGTGCACACTGTTCTAAATTGGCGGAGCATTTTCACCAAAGTGTTATTGCTAAATATTATGTGGTAAGTAAGCAAAAACAGCTTGGTTTATCAAAGCATAAGCTGACTCTCATTTATGCCATGTTGAAGAGAATTTTAGAACAACAACCCATATGTGCAGCTCTAGCAGAGTTGGATAAACGAGTTAATGCCAAAAGTAGAAATAAGTAATGTGGAAAAACTGGTTGAAATTTTGGATACCTTTTCAGAATTTACTCAAGAATTTAGCACTGAATTTTATGTTACTGTATCAAGTTTGTCACTCCCAAGTGATAGCATAGATTAAAGAAGCAATGCTTGAGGATCTTGAAAATAGATATAGTGTTGACATTCTCATGAAATCATGCTTCCTGGATGTCAGACTTAAATATATACCATTCTTAATGAATATGAGAAAATGAAAGTGTGTAATATGATAAATGACAAAGATTTTCAACTGTTAATACCAAATACTCAGCTCTTAAGGGGAAATGAGCAAAGTCAGTCCACTGGGGAAAGAGACAGCTTCTTGTAGTGTCAACCATTTGTACCCACAACTTAGTAGACTTGTAGTTAAGTACCTAGCAATTCCAGCAACCTTTGGAGAAAATTTATTTAGTACTACAAATTATATTTTAAATGACAGTCAAGCCTCACTGGATCCAGAGAATGTTAACCTTCCTAAGCAGCAATATTTAACATTGTTAACTGTTGAAACTTTGTAAAATGGACAGCTACTGCCTGCCGTAAAAACCTGAAGATGAAAGGTAGAAAACTTTTCAAACATCGTCCTCTATACTTGTGTTTCTATAACAGGCAGTTGCCGTCAATCCTACAAAGTTTCATCATGAACACTCTTAACTAAACAATCTATCAAAGAATTGTTAACTGTTGATTTTTTGTGAGAACTGGTCATTAAAACGTTAACATTCATATTAAATTGTTATTTTCTTAAGTGAAAAGTTAATCATTATGAAATTTATGTTTCTACTTTCTAATGTATAATTAGTGTTAAGTTTTTAACACCAGATACAACACTTGTGGCCTAACATTGTTGTGAACATGCTTATAAACATGTAAAATAATACTGATAAGTGAATAAATATTTTACTGTTTCTAAATGTTAAACAATGCAGTTGCCTTGCATGTATGATACATTTTCATGTTAAAAGTTTAGGATACAAAAAGTAATGTAATTATTGTGCTTTAAGTCTGAAAAGAGGGTTTCCTCTGGCACTTGATATTTTTTATGTCACTTAATAAAGTTTTGAGACAGAAATTAAAGTCAATTTTTGAATGTTAATACTAAATATATTGCAATAACTTTCCAACATTTACTTAGTGTGATTCATGACTTTCCAACATTTACTTAATGTAATTCACGAAGAACAAAATTTTTGCTTTCAATTCTACCTAGCTGCAGATAGATTTGCTTGTAAACAAAACACCTGCCAATTTGTTTTAGAATGTTTTTGTCCATCCCAAAGAAATCCTTTATTTTTACCTATCATCCCTTGATAATATATTATCTATTTCTTGATTTTCAAGTACTTTCCTTTGTCTTTGTACAGGACTTGGACCTTGATTGAAATCTTATGATATCTGTATCACATCAAGTGGTTTGATCATTTACTAACGAAGAACAGCTATAAAGAAAGCTTAGATGATTGAATACTATGGATAGAGAAAGAATTAGACTATAACGTAACAGTAGAGTAAGTATATAGATTTCATTTGTTTTATATCTTCTACCCTTTCATTTGTGAACTGTGAAAGTTTGTGTTTGAAAACTAGGAAAGGTTTTTCAATGAGAAAAGGCCAGATAACTTGGGATAATGCAAACTTATACATTTTAGAAACTGGATGAATGAGTAACAAAAACTTTATTACAAGTTTAACACAGTAACAAATGAAATATGTTTGGAGAAGGTTTTCTGATCATCAGGTTCAAGTAGTTTACGTAGACACAGAAGATATATACAACAAGAAACAAAGAAATCGTATGACTGGAGATTTATCAAGATTTAAATAGGTATTTTTACATTTGTTTGATATCTGGGTTTTTGTTTAATATTATGGTGTTTTTGATATACTATGTTTTTATTGAGTTGTAATGTTTGTAAACATGAGTTTTTTTATGTTTACTAAATAAAGTTAGTTAAGTTTACCATTTGGAGGCATGGCAAGTATGGTAGATGAATGCAAAATGTTCTGATGACTGAAACCTTTAGAGTATTATTTATATATTCTTTTCTTATTCAAACAATGCATAATCATGATTTTTTAAATGAAAACAATACAAACCTGATTGGTGAATGGTGACAGTAAAAATTAAATATATCTCCATTATTTACAGTACACATTAGTGTAGGCTAACTACATATTCAAACAAATAAAAAATAAACAAGACCATGCAGTGGTGATGTTTAACTGACATTAGTGGTTCATGATTTTTTAGATGAAAACAATACTAATCTTATTGGTGAATGGTGACAGTAAAAATTAAATATAACTCCATTATTTACAGCACACATTAGTGTAGGATAACTACATATTCAAACAAATAAAAAATAAAAGAGACCATGCAGTGGTGATGTTTAACTGACATTAGTGGTTCATGATTTTTTAAATGAAAATAATACTAATCTTATTGGTGAATGGTGACAGTAAAAATTAAATATAACTCCATTATTTACAGCACACATTGGTGTAGGATAACTACATATTCAAACAAATCAAAAATAAAAGAGACCATGCAGTGGTGATGTTTAACTGACTTTAGTGGTTCATTCACCAAGTATTATATCTGTGTGAAAACAATTCCACAGAAATAAAATACTACCCGAGTAAGTGGCGAAGATAACACACGGGAATCTTTTCTTTATATGGATGTGCTAGATTTATTCTCACTTTAAAAGCAAAATTGAATTTAGAAGTTCTTATAAAATAAAGTAGAAAACTACCAAGAAATTTCTTAATGATGATGATGCTTGACAAACAGACAGGATAACTGATAATTTTCAGAAATGTTAATTTTTTTTATTGACTTAGGAGTTCTAGCTTAACCTCTAATGGTTTCTACTGTAAACTTGGGACATTGGCTACATATAAAACAATTTTCTGAATGGCTCCCTAGTTTCATTAGCCTTTAACTCATAAGTTCACTACCTCTTCTTTTGGAACACATCCATTTGTGAGTTACCAACCCAATCAGTATGTCACAAAAAGCATTAAAAATATTCCTTATTTGGAATGGTCAAACTTACCATTTTTGTAATCATAAGATCCTTCGTTTTCCGATTGATCTAGGTTATCAGTATTTCTTTCTTTATTTTTCTGAATTTTACCTTCACCACCTGTAATACAATCTGTGAATTAAAATTTTGCATCAAAACAAAACACTTGCTACTACAGTATAAACCCAACATCCTTTAGTTTGGTTAATGATTAGACAAAGTTACATTCTACTGCTTGAACAGCAAACACTAAAAGAAATACTTTTACTTTTCATATTCAATGCAGCGTATATCAATTTAAATACGTACATCATCATGGGACATTCAGATAATAGCTAAAGAGGAAAAAATTATCCCAGCCCAAACTGAATTGTAGTATTATATATATATTCAATAAAGCTGTACCTAGAAGTAAGATAATTACTGGTGAAATAATTTGGAATTAGAGTCTTATAAGCATAAGTTTATTATTATTGACTAAACAAATACTTAAAATTTAATATGACTTCTAACACTGAAAGAAATTTGTATCACTAAAAATATATATACATTTTACTTCACTTTCTGTTTACACATTTACATAATACATTCTAAAATACAGAAACCTAGGGTACCTGCATTAACACAAGCATTGACAGAAATCCTTTGATGATGTGAGGATGGGGATCTTGAATCATCAATGACCCGATAATGGAACATAGGTCTTTCCAAGGGAGAAGTTGCATTTGATTCTACAGAAGTTACCTTGCTATTTGTGGGAGTTTTCTCAACCTAAACATATATAGCATATTCTTAGAATTAAAACAAAAATTATAAAGCTACAAACAGATACATTTGGCAGTTTTCTAAAATTTGGTGGTTAATGGACTTCATTTAGGTGGTCTGTAGAAATGTAGCATATTTATGTAAAGGAAGCTGCAGCATACCGTACAACTGTGATCAAATTCAGGTTGTCCATGAATGAAAAGTTTGAGAACCACTGTTCGAAACACTTCCTTTATTTCTTATACTTTTTAGTTGTTTGAATGATACTGTGGTTCACATTTTATATGTAGAAAGTATATTTTAATTTTAAGTCATTCAATAACTTTCTTCAAGTAATATGCCTTCAACTTGTCATTTTTATTCAACATTAAGAGAGAGAGAGAGAAAAAAAAGACAAGCATACTGTATGACTTAAGAATGATTTGTAACAGTGAAAAAATAAAAATAAGATTTTTACTTCAGCTCTGAAAATCTAGCTTTAAACCTAATATTAGTCTCATATTTTGTAAAAGAATAAAATGCCACTCAGAATAAAAAAGTTAAATGAAGGTATTTACACTTGAAATGAAAATATCTTACATAAAACAACCACCTACAGACAACAAGGAATCATTTGGTTCTTCAATGCTATTCTTTGCACAAATACCCTCTGGAAAAATAAAAATTTACCACCATTTACTTTTCAGAAAATCATTGATTCCCCTCTTAACTTCTGTAAAGTGCTAAACCTCCACTTCAGCAGACAGTAACTCACCCTGTTACAAAACAAAAGTTTTAACTGGAGTCTAGTCTGTTCTTTCCAAATCTCAAACTTGTGTTCTCTTGTCCTATTATTTTCAGAATAAATCCCAAAGAAATCAGATACTTTGATCTCATTAATCTGTCAGATAACCTTGTAAAATTCAATAAGATCACCTCTTACCTTCCTTTACTCAAGAGTGAATAAGTTAAAATGCCTTAATCCTATCCATCCCTGGAGTCATCCTAGTAGCCCTCCTCTGAAACCTATTCAGTAAGCCAATATCCTTTTTCTTTTAGAAAACAAGAACAAAAGTACATAAAGTGTTCTAGATGCCTAACTAGTGATTTGTATTGTGAGATAGTAGCTGCTTTGACTTATCTATTCATACACCCTAAACATACTACTAGCAAAAGAGTTCAGAGTACTGCTTTGATGGCTTGAGTGACTTATCTGCCATTATGCCAAGATCATTCTTTTCAGCCATGCTTTTGAATGGGTTCCTATACATATTAAATGAGTAATCCAAATTATGATAACCCTGATTACCATAACTCTGAAGTTTCTACAATAAAATCTAATTTGCCAAATATATTTGTCCAACTTACCAATTAATCCAAACTTTTCTGAGGACAGAGGAGAGAAGAATTCAGTAGATTAATGGTATTCAATGTGGTTTTGCTGCAGAACTAAAACAGAACTCAAAACACAATGCCACCTCTGAGTTTAAGAGAACAATATATCTCTAAATAAAACTTTTCATTTGAATAAACAATTTACTGTTGTAGACTTAGAACTATTAATGTATAAATATTTACATTTAGGCCTAATAATTGACTCGTGTTGGGCATTAGATTCATCAGTACAGTCATATCCACACGCACTTCAGAGCTTGCATGCATATCTATCTTACTTCAACAGACAACTTTGCTTATTCACACAGACTACTATATATTATCTTCACATACATCTGATGCAATGTATTGTATTTTTCTAATAAAACAAATTATATTTTTATATTGTTACGTATCAGCTTGTTTGATAATTTCTTAAAAATTCTTTCTGAGAAACTTCAGCGATACAAGTCCTTTCTTAATGAAAACTAGTTTATTCTTTCTCATTACAAACTTTGTAATACAGTTAATTTCCACAGTCACTTTAAACATAAACACACGCTATAATTCACAACAATTCACGCACTTTACTTATGGTTACTACCACTCACTTGACTCAATTATCTGCCGGGCTTATATACTAAAATAGAGGGCTCCTAGAAAAAGACTAGAGTTGCCACAAACAGTCATGATCCTTCTAGAATATCATGACATGTTACTAGCGTCACGCGACTTCTGCTGTCGTAACAATATATTTGAATGCGATAAAAATAGGGTGAAAATTGGAGAAAAAACTGAAAACAGAAGGCTCTGTTCACAGTACATTTCACTATATGATTTTTATAAAGAAATATGGTTAAAACTAGTTATTAATTTTCAGGAAATCTTTACAGCTAAACAAAATGAAAGGTGTACCCACGTAATGGATGGATTGTCACATGATAATCTTAATTTGTTCTCTCTTGGAAATATTATGGTTAAGGATGATTAAATTGTAGTTTTCAATTTATTGAGAAAGATTGAGGACCAGAAGTTATAAATTAAAAAATCAGGAAATATCAGACATATCCAACTGAGGTAGTTTTATTTTTCCCAATTATTTTGATAAATGTGAAACACAAATTACAATCTACCATAATACAGACTGCAACTTCAACAAACTCTGGAAGAACAGGTCTGGATCTAGTGATTAGTGTTCTATTTGTTGAGGAAAGTTAGGAGTTGTGGCATTTTTGGGAAGCCAATAGGCTTCTAGATGTCCCATAATTCATAATCAATGTAAACTAATGAATAATACTACTAAATATAAAGAAACAGCAATACTAATATGTAGATGAAAATTTATCAAATCTTACAAGTTGCCATTAAAAACTCAATCAACCATTTTGAATTGTCTCTGAAAGTCCAATTAACCATATATTTCCAACCTTTGTCTGTCTAAACTCCTTACTGAGATAAAATAATTAAACCATTTTACATATGGATATGCTCCATTCACAAAACACATTATCATTAGTTTAAAATACTGTTGTGAGAAAAGTTTCCTGCTTTTGATTTGTAAAACAGGATTTATTTTTTGTTCATGTGTTAGAATTTTACAATGACACTTGAATTTGTCCTTTTTTTCCTCTATCTCTCTTTTTAGCATCACAAGAGTGGTGGTTTCCATATGGAACTCTATTCACATTCTGTGATTTAACTGGCTTCTTTTCTCTTTACTTTGCATATAGGAAAGTTAAAGGTACCTGGATAGGTGTGCGACTTATCCCACTAGACGGAGAACGAGGGTCAATTTCAAGAATCCTGAGAGGTTTCCGTGATATTGGAGTTGAAGGCTTACTTTCTTCTGACATTTCATCCCACATTTTGCTTCCTGCTAATCCCATCTTGAGAACTGGATAAAATAAGGTAATACATAACTTATTTTACTGAAAGAACAATTCAGAGAGCACTCGTACATAATCTATATATGTCACTGTAATTTTTATGGACAAAACCAGATCCTTGACTATTTTAGCAGTCTTCATTCAACAATGAAACACTTAGAAACCTCACACTTTAACATTACAGTAACCCAATATTATTTTTTTATTTTAGCAACATGTCAATAAGTGATTCCACTGCTCTTTTTGCCAATAAGTTAAAAACTAGAATTTTTATAATGTATGATGCTTTGACCTACACATCCTTGTAACACCTGTCCTCTGTTTATTGATGTTCTATAAATGAAAAATAAGCCTATTTTGGAACCAGTTAGTAAAACACTGTCTGGCTTTGGTGTATTATTTATCCTTAATCTCTTCCTTTTTATTACCAAGGAGTTAATATTGACATGATTCAATACAATCCCAATATCTGATAATTTCACACAGCATACAAGGTAAGAAGTGTTGACAACATGCTAAAACAAAATATAACATTTAAAAACTCAACCATCAGATATTTGAGCCTCTCTCTCTCTCATTAGTGATTTTTTAATACTCAGTGGACAGATGTTGGCAGGTTAAGGTAGGAATGAAAGATTTTCTGAAAAATAAATTATAAATGATGGACTTAAATTTTTACTTTTTTTTTTTTTGTCAGGGATAAGATATACACAATACAGGTACAGCCTCGAAGTTGAAGGATCAAATAGTCTCTTGCCCTCATGTTTCATCTCGGAACTACTATTAGTATTACTACTAGTAGTACTAGAAACAGTAGAAGTACAATGAATAAGTAATGCCAGTACTAGTACTTCTAATAAGTTCTACTAATATTATTATTAGTAGTAATACTAATACTATATAGTAATAGTTCTCTTCTACTGAACCCTCTCCAAAAAGTTAATATTCAATTCTTGTACAAGAAGACCAAAGGCAAAATTTAAAACTGCACACATTATTCTACGTTAGAATTTTTTTTTATCTTGTTAATCACTTAGTGTTATTGTAACTTTTAAATTTAACTTCTTCTAAGTTGTAATTTTAAACCGATATCTACACTTAAACTAAGTTAAAGTATAATTATTATAAATAATATACTATAGTTATCAATATCAATTTATTTTAGTTCAAATTTCGGAGACGTTTTAACCATTTCAACATCATGTAACTTAATTAAGTTAAAATAAATTCAACCCACCTCTCGATTTCACCAAATGCAATACGTAACTACAATTTCAAAACGTTTCTGGCATCAAGACGCGATGTTTTATTGGATAGTGGTAAGCGTCCTCTAGTGAGCTACTAACGAAATACTTAATATTGACAAACATTTTTCTGTGAACCACTATATCGTCTGTTTTAATCTGCACAACGAGCTGAATCACGTTTTCTAAGTTAAACTTTAAACCTTAACTGCTTTGTGATTAAAAAGAAAGAATAATGAAACATATTTATTATCACTACTTAGCTTAGACATTGTCAAGTAGTCAAAAGTCGTTATTAACTAACATTATGCATATAATATTTGTATAAAAGTCAGAAATCTGTCAGTAGGATAACATGTTTGATAAATTCGCGATTTTTTGCACATTTTCACATAACAAGATCGCCATTTCATCAAAATATCCATCATTGGCTCATTTCTATTTATATTTGTAGAATATATATATGTATAAATAAACATATTATTTAATTTCCAAACGGCCATCTGGTTCATCTAGGCCATTGTATATTCTACAACTACCCCATTGTAAAGTACCCATAGAAACGCATTTTCTAACATCTCTAAAATATTCATCTACTTTCCTTGAAATTAAACTTTTTAAATGTTGTGATTACTACCAAACCTGAAACAAACTATTCCATAAGCTAACTACCATACTGAAACATAACACTGCATTAATTGGAGTCGTCTTTGAATTTCCCGTATATTGATAATTGTGTGTCCTCTATTCTGACTACCTACTTAGATTTATCTAAAAACGACATCTGGATTTATGGTTTCCAATCTTTAACAATTTGAACAAACACTGTCGCGGCCTTACCAGCTCTTCTCAATCGAAAATATGTCAAGTTATGTCAATCATATTATTACCCCTCCAAACCTGAAATTATCCTGGGAGCCAAATAAGAATCAAAGAAAGTATTCCGCAATAAAGACAGAGTTTGCCCAAGAAATTTGCGAAGATGAGCCCGTTTCGAACAAATAAACATAATTTTTATTTAAACAATAAAAAGAAAACAAGTGCACGTACCCACTGTGGACGAATCGACATTCCTTTCTCCCTTTGCTGGTGTTTAGTCTTTTCTCTCAAGATTGAATATCCAACGCTAAATACGAAGATCTTCCAGGAAAAAAAGAGGTTCTTCCCATCAGTTAACTAATAGACAACGGAATTATGAAAGCGCGCTCGGATACAATATGTTAAAACGCTTTCTATGACTAGTGGATAGCGTCATCTCGTGACTTATGTTCCTTGACAGCACAGGTCGACTGTCAACTTCAGTCACCATCATTATCATCTAAGTAAAGATATTTTTGTGCTAACTTATTCAAACTAGATTCTATATACAATACTGAAACATTCCTGAGAGCAGACAAGACGACATCTACTAGAGAGAAAAAGAGGCGGAGCAACTAGAACAAAACTATGTTAGATACTTTCTGTACCACACATTGCTGATATGACAGTGCAGAAACAAGATAATCAATGATTTGGAAAGTTTCTATATTACTATACATGATATGACCAGATAACACAGCTCTTCCCTGACTCATCTTCAACAGTTCAACATTATTTTTATAATAATGTGACCAAATCTGAGCACAGTTTCACATCAGGTCAAAAAACACCTTGCAGGGTGATCTGATAAAATATTTCAACTTGTGCTTAGTATATCATGTATACAACCTAAAGCTGTGTTTACTTTATTATTAGCTACTGTAAGTTGTCAAGAAAATTTAAAAGATACTGAAATAGCTAAGCGTAGATCTTTTTTTCTCATCAACTTCTCTTATAATTTCCCCTGGTAGGCAAAAAGAATACTTTATATCTGTAACCTTACCTTTATTAAGGCGAGTGTAGACTAGTGTGCGGATGAAATTATAAATTTCAACAGTAGTTTAATTATTTTTCGAAAACAGAAAATTCAGAGAAAAATAGAAAATAGAAGGTACATCATTTAGATATTTGGATATATATAACTAAGTAAATTTGGCATTGTGATATCCACATGATTAGGTTCATCGACTGGAAGCAACGTGACTTACAAGTTTAAGGTGTGATCAGCTGATGGTAAGAATTTCTTCGCAGGATGAAAATTCTGACTCAGAACATTAGGAAATATTACATTTCGAGAGAGGGAATAAATACGGATATAAAATGTAGGAAAAGTATAAGTCCAGGCAGTATAACGTATGCGATACAGGGTCAGAGAAAGGACTTATGTGTATAAAAGAAGAGGGATTCAACTCACATGAGGATACTGCTAGGTGTTGTAAGCGATAGAAACGTTGAGTGACCTTGTGATAGAGAACCGCAGTTGGACTTGCCATTTTGGTTGTTTTTCTTAGACGAGAGCTACATATTTAATAGTGACAGAGAGTTGAATGAAAACGTTGGTGTTTTAACATTGAATAATGTAGAACTAAAGATTATCGCTCTTGTTTTTGTGACATTAAGACGCCATTGACAACTTCAAGCCAAAAGTGGTATTTACCACAGCCTAAAAACATTTTCCTGAGAGTGAGCATAGTATTACAGGTAGCCAGAAGAGCAGTGCCATCAGTATATTGTTATAATTGAACAGGACACATAGGTTTAGGCTTATCAACAATGAAAGGATATAATACAGAAGAGGTAACAGAATTGAGCCTTGAGGAAGAGGAAGATCGAAGGATCGGGAAGAAGTACACAGCGTGGTCACAAGTAAATAGACACCACTTTTTCAGAAAAAATGAAATTTTTCAGTCATATTCACATGAATTGATATATTTATAATTTAATTAATATCTAGTAGATATTCCTCTCGCTTCGTGGAGTTCGTTGATCCTTTGGGCATCGTGAGAATCATCTCGTCAATTTTAGATTGTGGGATTTTCGCCCACTCTTGCTTCAAAACTGGGAGTAGATCGCTCTTTGAAGTTGATTTTTTTTATTGTTTCTTGACTTGCCGGTCGAGTATGGCCCAGAGATTTTCGATGGGGTTCATGTCAGGAGATTGGTTCGGCCAGGGCAACTTCTGGATACCATTTTCTTCCTACCGTTTTTGGGTGTTTCTAGCAGTGTAACACGGTGCTCCATCTTCCTGGAACAACGTTGTGTTCTTGTCCACGAAACCCGAGAAATAAAGTGGCAAGAGTCCTTCCTCCAATATTTCGACGTATTTCGCAAAATTTATATTGCCAACGCACTCCACTAAGCTCGATCTCTCACCAACCCAAACAGCTCTCCAAACCATCACGCTGAAACCACTATGCTTCACAGTTGGCTGCAATCTGTTAAGCCAAAACTCTTGGTGAGGCATTCTCCAGACTCATATCTTTCCACTGTCCGAAAATTGAGCG